TTGAACCTATAACCACAAGCTAAGAACCCTAATTGGCTAGGTCGTTCAATCAGAAAACTCTCCAATTCTCAAGTTAGGGGGTGTTTGGTGCAGCTTTTTTAAGTCAACTTATGGCTTCTGGCTTTTAAAAAGTTATTTTGGACTGTTTGGTTAAACTTATTTCAAACTAGGTTGTTGGATTATCACAAGAAGACCACTGTAGATAATCCATCTAACCTCTTCAGTCTTGAGGCCTTGTTTGACAACATAACTTTTTAGCTTAAAAGTTAAAAAGTTACTAAAAAAACTAAAAAGCCAGCAACCTATACCAAAAAGTCAAAGATTCTATTTTCTTTCTACTTTTTACACATTTTCTTTTTATTAAAAATCAAAAAATTATCCTAAACATACAAGTTTTTATTTATATCATATTTTAGTCAAAAAATTTAAAAATTACTAAAAAAGCTTGTTCTCAAATGAGCACTCAGCGTATCCACAACTTTGGTCTTCATTTCTATTGTGTGGGCAAAAATATGCCACACAGGCAGAAATAACAATGGGTTGAACTAATGCCTCGCACTATTACTTTCTTAGCTTTTGAACCTATAACCACAAGCTAAGAACCCTAATTGGCTAGGTCGTTCAATCAGAAAACTCTCCAATCCTCAAGTTAGTAAATTGTTGTTGGTATAAACTCATAGAATGAGAGTATGATTGCTTATTTTTCATTCTCCCTATGTAAGTGTCTAAATGACAATTGAGCATATCATGCAACTACTTGCAGATGTTGCTCTACCTTAGGCAGGATCGTGTCTCCTATCTGGTGATATTCACGGAAATTGATGAGAATGATCCCACATTTTGTACACATACCTCTTGCTTAGGATTAGCCATTCGACCCTTGACTAGATGTTTGACTCAATGTCAACTGCATTTGAACCTCCTGTCACATATCTAACTCGGCTCACATTCAACTAAGTAAGTCAAGTGGCGTGATTGCTTAGATTTTAGTAGAAATTACAAATCAATAAAAAGATCTCAAAAAAAAAAAAATTATAAAATCATGAAAAAATTTATCACTTTAATTATTAAAATTGATAAACTTTACCACTTGCTTGTAATTTTTTTTTTCTATATCTTTCCACTGATTTACAATTTATCCTAAATTTTACCTCACACGTGTTCAATCTTTCACTTGAGCAAACATCGTTTAGAGATAAATGGGTACACAAAACATATGAGTGCATTTCTTTCCTTCTTATTTCATTTGACCTTTTTTTTTAATAGTAAATTACACTTACACCTCTTGAGATTTAGGTTTAATACATATTATTTCTTAACGTTTGGGAAATTACATTAACCTCCCTATCATTGTAATTATTTAAACGGAATGAAAACATTAAATTCATGCACTCTTTTTTTTCTTGTTTTGCTTTACTTCCTCTGTTTTTCCCCCTCACATTTCCTTTGCTTTAACTTTTTTTTTTTTTCAATGTAATTTCTTATGTTTTTCTACTAGGAGTTGTTGCATTTTATATAAATAGAGGGGTTTGTGAAATGAGACTATTAACTACAGTGATGTGAATGTAATTTTCAGAACGCTAGGGAGTGGGATGTAATTGGACCAAGCCTCAGGGGGTCAATGAAATTTACCCCCCTTTTTTTGTAAGGATGTTAGGTTTTTGTAACTAGTAATCCCGTTTGACAAAATTTCTTTCGATTGTAATTTTATTCGTTATTTTGTTTCAATGAGGATGTGAGTGTTTAGATGTGAAACCAACCCAAATTGTACCTGTGTAAAGAAGTTTGTGATCTGGAGGCTTCCATATTTGCCACTTCCCTGACTATGAGTAGGGATTGAGCTACATAGTCAGCTTGCGAGGGTCCAAGGGGCAGTGCCCTCGAAGCCAAAGTGGTTTGACTACTCGAACGGTCATTTGTACACTCGAGCGGTGAATGTCATTATCTAATATTTTTGTAGAGCGCCTGAACTTCTAGGAAGAAAGTTTTACTCACTACGCCAAAACAGGGCATTAACGGCGGTTTTTTTAAAGGCGGTAACGAAAACCGTCGTTAAAGGTACTATTAACGGCGGTAACGAAAACTGTCGTTAAAGGTATCATTAACGGCGATTTTGTTACCGCCGTTAAAAAAACCGTCGTTAATGCCCACTTTTAACGGCGGTAACAAAACCGCCGCTAATGCCCAATCATTACCGCCGTTAATGACGACGGTCTTTGCCGGTGAAACTCCGGCGTGCTCCGGCGAAACCATCTACAATAAAGTAAAAGTAATGTTTAAATATTTATTTAGGGAATATATTTCATGAAGAGTGGTTATGGTAGAGTGGTTAGTGTGGATGGATGAGAGGTTGAGGGTTTAAGACTTAGGGAGTGCAAGAAGAAGGAATTATTTTTTGAAAAATTTGAACCTATTTACGGCGGTAAAAAACCGCCGTTTTTGGTCGACTTTTAACGACGGTAATTTACCTTTTTACGACGGTTGTACTTTTTCCGACACACGCATAAACGGCGGTAACAAAACCGCCGTTAATACCACCGTTAAAGGCTTTAACGGCGGTTTTACAGCCTTTAACGGCGGTAAAAAACCGCCGCTAAAGCCCAATTTTGGCGTAGTGACTGTTCGAGCGGTGCAAGTTGCACTTGAGCGATCGGCCTATATGTTTTGCACTACCTTTACTCACATCGCTCGAGCAGCGAAGTGTACGCTCGAGTGGTTTTCGCGATTCAGTTTACTATAAAAGTGAGCAATTTGCTGTTTTTAAGATTTAAGCCGTCTAGAATTTTAGAGAGAAAGAAAAGACAAAGTATTTTCTATTTGTTTTATATGAAAAGCCTTGATGTATAGAAGGTGATCAATTGATCAATGGACTATAGATTGTCAAACATCAAGGGTTCTTCTTATTGTTTCGTTCACAAAAAAGAGAGTTATTCTTTGGCAAAGAATTTGGGCCTAGAGTTTTGGTGGATTCTAGAATAGATCATCGTTGTAGATTCGACATTGGCGTTGTAGATTCAATGTTGGACAAGACAATTCCGACATAAAGACGGTGATGGAAAAGGCACATTAGGTTTGGTTCAATTCAGGTATGGATTCGTGGGGTAATTTAGAGTACTATTGTGTAATTCTTTTTATCTTCTTAGTTCATTGTTTTATGATTTTGGCCCGTGATTTTTTTATCACAATTGAAGGAGCTCCAATTGTGATTTTTCCAATGTTAAATCGTTGTGTCGATTTGTCTTAATTGTTTGATTGGAATTGTTATGTATTATTTTAAATTGAAATATAATCACGAATCAATATCTCGGGGGTTTTAGATTTTTCAAAGGAGAAACTCTTACTTATATTGGACAAATCATCGAATTAATTTTTGTTATTTTTGAAAATTATGGTAAATATGTCTCAAATCAATTAGTTTCATATATTAATAGAAATATTTTTTTTATATATTTTTATTCTAAAAATTGTTCATGTAGTAAAAGAGTTTCTTCACTCATAGTAACAATTTTGATTTTAAAATATGCACAATTGTTGTGAGGATATATTTTTGAGTACCGACACGTGGCAAGGTGACTCCAACGTATCAGCCGAGGTGCCACGTGTCCAAGTCATGACGCCGAGGTTATCTCAGTTAAGCCGAGGTTATCTCCGAAGATATAGGAGTCCGAGATAAGCGGATAAAGGACAAGAGTCCTAGAATGAGGGAAGACTTCAAGATGGATAAGGATAATGTTCTTAGGGAATCTATCCATATCTCTTGAGGAGTCCAAAGTATATACTGAACAGGAGTCCATAGAGATCAGGCTTCTATTGGGATTAGGATTGAGTTAGCTATAAAAGAGAGGCACCCCGTGGGTCTAAGGTACGCAATTTATATTCTGTCTAGTGAGTTAAGCACTATTGATTATCTTTGAGAGAAATACTGACTTGATCGTCGGAGTGCCCCTGGGTGGACGAACCACCGCCAGAATCTTTTCTTTCTGTTACAGGTTAGCCAGGTGTCTTCTATTCTGCCAGTGTTCTCCAGCTGAATACTAAGTCGGGCAGTGTGATCAGAAAATCACTCACACGATAGGTTTAGACAATTGTTAGGTCGACTACAACATCATAAACCTCTAAATATTATGATGATTTATCTTAGCTATTGAATATGTTAGTATATTTGATACTTTGGAAGACTCATAAGAATACGTCATATAAAACATGTTCTTGGTGTGTATCTTGTAATGTTCAATAATGCAATGAATTCCGAATTTTTATAAAAGTTATGAACTCAAGTTCTTTGTGTGGATTATATTGACTTACCAATGAGTGAGGTTTTAAAATTAATCAGTGCCTTGATATCTTAGGTGATTTGAGTTAGAATTGTGAAAATATGATAGAATCTATCCTAACATGAAGTAAATGTTTATTTAAGTTAAGTTTACATAGTTAGGGCATTTCCAACTTGATTGAAACCCTTATCAAACTTAAATTTGGATAAAAATCATTCAAAAATCTTTACACTCCTAGATTCAAAAAAAAAAAAAAAAACAAACATAATAATAATAATTTAACTCAAAAAAAAAAAAAAAAAAAAAATCTTAATCAAATCAAGGAATACTTAAATATTTACTCACAAATTTTAAGACCATTTTCTATAGTTTTCAAATTTACAAATGTGCAATTATTGAAAAAAAAAAATCAAATTTATGCTTGAATTTGAATTTGTACATTAGAGTGTTTCATATCAAATAAATTTTTTACTTAAATTTAAATAAAAATTGAAGGATTGAAGATGGCCTTAATGATATGAATTTGAGTTTGGTCATTCTCTAAGTATTCATTAGGATGTCATTCGTGAACTAGTATTGATGTAAGCAAGTACTGCATATTGATTTGACATGGTAGGTAGAGGAGTCTAGATCACGATGTTGTGACATATTGAATTGTATATCTTTCAAGAAGTCTTGAGTGCAATCAAAATTATATAATAATACTCATTATAACTAATCGGTAAGTCTTATGCTTATGACATGAAGTGTAGAGTTTAATCTCAATTTGAAAGAGAGCTCAAAAGTCTCAATCCAAGTTTTCTCATGAGATAGATTCACATGACATTCTCTTTCACTTGCATTGTGTGTGAGTCTTGTGAAATAAGTTTGGATCTCACCATTCTTCTTGGGTAATATTCTCCTCAAGGGACATTATTGAAGTCTTTTGGCACCAAGAATTGAACAAGGTCATCTCTATATATGTTCAAGTTTTACCTTCAACTAAGTGCTTCATCAAGATCAAAGTGGAACTTGAAGGCTAACTACTTCACAATCAAAAGTTTCTACACGGTTTTTCCTTGAATTCGCTTTTGGCTCATGTTTCCTCTTGCTAAAAGATCTGCAAAGGTGTGTTATTCAATTTCTCCTTGTTGGAACAACATGATCTCATCATGGGTTTAAGACCTCTCTCTCTCCCTCTCTCTCTCTCTCTCTTAAAATATACTTTTCACGTAATTTTTCAAAGATAACAATTATTATCATAATCAAACTCATGCATATTTAGTTGTTCATATTCTGAGTGCTTAAATCATTTTTTGAACTAACAATACACGCGTGAGATAGGCGGTAGCTACTATTGATAAATACGGATCAAATATCTTTTTTTTTTTTTTTAATTTTTACTTATCAATAATATTAGATGAAGAGAGCAAAACATGATAGTAGAAATAAACTGATTAAATAGACAAAGCTAGTAACTTGAACGATTGTGATAAAGCAAAACATGATTAGAAAAACATAGTAAAGAGAATACTCAATTTTGATGGTAGATGGAGAGCAATAATAACCTAAAATCAAGACTAGTCTTGAATATTTAATTTGTTTTGATTTGTTTTTGCAATCAAAGATTATAGAAATTGAAGCTATAAATTTTTTTTTAAAAAAAGTAAATACAAAGAATTTTGTGATATACATAGTTTTGGAGAAAAATCTTAACTCTCTCGTACTATAAAATTGTAATTTATATATATATACTATAATTTCATATAATATTGATTATAACATGGTAAATAGACAAAGAGAGTGTGGTGGAAATAGAGAGGGGAAGTAGCAAATGATGAAGCTGAGTATGAAATTATTAGTGGAAAAAAAATTAAAAGCTCAAGTTTTCAAAATAAAAATAAATAAATATTTAACCCAAGAGAATGCAAAGTGGTTGTTAGATTATATTTAGCAGGACCCATAAAGAAAGAAATGGGCAACAATTAACATATTTAATTAGGCATGTCATAATTAGTTGGGGATGACAAATTGGATCTTTTGTATAAATTTATATTTTCCCAACCTTCGTAGAGACTTAATTATATTATAAACAATGAAAAAAAATATTCATAAAATTTTACTAGATTGAGGAAGAGAGATATTGACACCCCTATCAATAATGTCATTGGTATATTAACTGTATTTTTTTTTTTAAAGATAGTTATTGTATTTAAAAATTTAAGAGATGTTAGACTAAGAAATTTAAAATTAATCAGGTGATGATAGTATAGTAGCTGTCATACATGGTGGTAGTTGTGGTTGTAACAGTGATGATAATTATATATGGTAGGGAGGTGGTGGGATGTTGATGGTGGTAATAGTTAGAATGATGAGTTTGCTCTTATAGATAAGGTAAAATGGTTGGTTCGATTAAATTACTCGACTAATATGAACTTTTAGATTAGGTTAAAAATTAATTCTTTTTGTTTTTTGTTTAAAAAAAATATAAAAAAATAAAGAGGTGATGTAGCCCAAGAAAATCAAAAAAATAATTTTTAGCCAAGTTTTAGTATAATTATTGGAGAGACAATGAAAATATTAAAAGAAGCTTAAAGTCTTTCTATTTGATTGTACATAAAAATTTAATATTCAGTAGGAATAATTGTTTGAAATTAATGTTGAAGGAGTTGACGTATTAATCACAGATAAACAAAAAGTTGAAAATAAAAAAATAGAGAGAAAAAAAAGGAGCGGAGAGGTTGGGCGTTTGAATTTTGGGGAGTGAGATTAATTATTTAAAATATTGATTAAGACTTCATAGGTTAAAGAATGGATATTTTAATTGTCTAGCTGACGTGGCAAACATAAAATTTAGGACTTTGTAAACTCGTATACATGTTAAGTGACAATAATTAGTTTGTTTTTTAGGACCTCATGTCAAGGGTATGGCCAGTAGAGACAACAAAATAATATAATTTATATAAAACTATGGTTATTTTCAGTGTATAATAATACTTAAATTTTGTCCAATTGGTCCCCATTTTAGTTGAAAAAAATCCATGATTAGGTTTTAAAATGATGACTTTCGTTGTTCTGTAATTTATTTTTGTACATTTAATATTATTATTTATATATTTTATTGAAAAAACTTACTTGTTATTTGACTTCTGAGTTTAGTATAAGAATACACAAAAACATAAAATAAAAATTAATTACTTTCTCATAAAATAAATACAACAATAAATAACAATTCTCTATTATAATTAGTTTGTTTTTTAGGACCACATGTCAAGGGTATGGCCAGTAGAGACAACAAAATAATATAATTTATATAAAACTATGGTTATTTTCAGTGTATAATAATACTTAAATTTTGCCTAATTGGTCTCCATTTTAGTTGAAAATATCCATGATTAGGTTTTAGGATGATGACTTTCGTTGTTCAGTAATTTATTTTTGTACATTTAATATTATTATTTACATATTTTATTCAAAAAACTTACTTGTTATTTGACTTCTGAGTTTAGTATAAGAATACACAAAAACATAAAATAAAAATTAATTACTTTCTCATAAAATAAATACAACAATAAATAACAATTCTCTATTATTTATTTGGAGAATTATAGCACAGTGGAACAAAAAAAAAAATACAAAAAAATGTGAAGTGGAAGTGATCATGTGGTGGTGGGGTGCAAGTGAAAAATTATAAAGCTGCAAACACTTGCAACTCCTCCGTGTTTGTGTAAATTTATTTATTTTTTTTCTCTCTGTCTCACTGAAATGTAATTTTCCTTATTTATTTAACTTGCAAACTCCAAAACATATAATCCTCTATTTTTAGTCAAAAAATATACATATGAGAATCATACGATTTGGAATGAAAACTAAAGGTTCGTTTGGGAAATGAGTTGGCTTTTAACTTTTTGACTTTTTTGATTATTTTAACTTGAGGCTAAAAAGCCTGGTTTGGAAAAGATTTTGGGCTTTTTTTGAACTTTTTTATGAGAGAAAGAATGTAATGATTATTGGTTGGATGTGATAATTTGTCTTATTGGGTAAAAAAGTATATTTTGTTTTTTGTGACTATTTTAACCAAAAAATCATCAAACCCAACTTCCCAAATATAAGCTAAGTTAACATCAAGGTGCTGTCAAAATATATTTGTTAATTTATTATTTTTTTATTTTTTATTTTTTTTTATTATTATTTTTTCTCACTCGCATTTGTTAAGCACAAATCCCTGTTAGGTCCAACGGCATTCTAATAATAAAAAAAAAATAAAAAAAATCATATTTTCTAATTAGGATAGTTATTTTTTACTTATGATAAAGTGGATATACAATGACATGGTAAGTCAAGCCTAACAATTCACAAATAGAGAGCATGATCTAGACAAAAATACATTTAACACACTTGAATCGTGAATCAATAAATAATGAATATCTCTCACATGAAATCAACCATCGCTTACCTAACAAATGCAGCTAACACCACCATAATGTATATTTTTTAAAAAAAAAATTTATTAAAAGTTTTGGTGGTGAAATTAGTAAATTGTTATTTAAAATTATTAGAAATTTCTCTCTTCATAAATGATACTAGGAATTTTGAAAAAGAAAATTATTTAAAATTTTAGACAATACGATGTGAAAAAGAGAACAGGAGAATAAATTTATTTTAAACATTTGATAACATTTAGGGCAAATAACACTGATCACCATTGAAGTTTAAAAATAATAACAAATTTTATAATTTTAACATAATTATATTGACTTCTCTTTTAATAAATTGAAATTTGTACAACTGGTGCAAATATAAAAATAAATAACGTAAAGTACACATTTTTATATAAAATAGATAACAACATTATTTTTATTTATCTATATTACTTACAAATTATTAATATAGATGAAAATGGAGCTATTTTCTTCAAATTTTAAGAAAAATCGAAACAATTTATTCTAATATTTAAGTTGTCATATACAAACAGTAAGGCGAGATACACAAATTAGTGTACTAATCAACACAATAAGTAAGACATAAAACGTACATGTATATTCCATGGCTTAACATAATCCTATCTAATATATATTTAGTTAGCGTGTTGATTGATACACTAATTAGTATTCCTAACATTATTGACAAATTATAGGAATTTACCACAAAAAAAAAAAAAAAAAAAAAAAAAAAAAAAAAAAAAACATAACAAAACAAGTTTGGAAACAACTTAAAATAGTAAAAAATTACTATTAAAAAATCAACTCCCCTATCTATTTTTCTACAAATTTGTAAAAAGTTAAAAAAATAAGTCTTCGTTTAAGAAGATTTTTTTTAGCTTGAATTTTTAATTTTTGACTATTTTAACCTAATTAAAAAAGTTTTATTTGTGAGGAACTTTTAGCTTTTTTTTAATTTTGTAAGAAAAAAAATAAAATAATTATAACTTAAATATAAAATTTTGTCTTAATGACTTTCTAATTTATTTTATCTTTTAATAAATCAAAATAATTTCAATCATCGTATCAAATGTAACCTAAAATAATTAGTTCCCAAAACCACCATGTATTAAAAAAAAAAAAAAATACACGAAAAAGTAAATCCAGAAACATTTGAAAGTTGTCACCCAACAACTGAAAAAGCTTCCGATCAACCAACCAGTGGACCAAAAAAGATCCTTCGACATGTTTTGCGTCAAAAATTTCGCCATCGTAACAAATGACAGTGTGAAACTGCGCAAAGCGTGTGCAAATCGTAATACTATGTGCATTAATTAATGTACATATTAATATATCAATTAGTGTTATGTCTTTATTATTCATCTCATTTATTATACAAATTATAAATATTTAAAACTTTTAAAATTATATCACATTATCAGTTAATTAATTAATACATTAATTGGCCATATATAACATTATTCGTGTGCAAAATAGAAGCTTCCAAAATACACATTTGCTGGAGGGGAGAGGGAGGGAGGGAGAGAGAGAGAGAGACATGATATGAGATTTTCTCCGTCCCACTGTTGATATTAGCTCTGTAAATTACACAAAATCTCTTTGTGAATCACTGAAGTAAAAGGGCATTGAGAAGAACAAGTGATTATGAGACATATGAGATTTTCCATGGCAGCATAGCTTAAGCCAAACAATCTTGCACACCATGTGACTCATTCATGTCTTCCCAGTGAGTTTTGGTTCTTTCTGAATAACACCAAACCACCCTCTACCAGGTACATATTATTCAGTAGTTTCAGGGAATTTTGGAGTATTTGACAACAATCTATAGCCATGTTTGTTATTGTTAGACCATCTTTAATCATTCATTCTAAATTTGAGTAAAAAACTTGATTTGACACGAACTACTCCCAAAATCTTTTCAAAAAGGGCTAGGCTCATCCCAAATTTCACTTTTTATTAAATATGATGAAAAAAAAAAAACTCATCCAATGCTTCCATCTTTTTAAATTTTGATCAAATTCAAATTTGGTAAAAGATTTGATGATTTCTCAATTTGAGCAAAAAAAATGACTCCTTAATTTTATGAACATTTGATGAAATGATTGAAGATACTTGAACACTTTTTCATCAAATATTTAAATTTGATGAAAGAAAAGGTGAAGGATCGGAGATGGTCTTAGTCACCCACTTTGTATCCCTTAGCCTCTTAGGATTCAATACTATGTCCAAATGGACTATTAGTTTGGACCACAGTTTTCTTTGCTAAATATTAGATTATACATTTTGTGAGATTATTAGTCCAATCCCAAGGACATCTCCACCGAAACAAACATGGCCTATGTGGTTTATTCTTGTTTCGTGATCTAGGTCACTTCTAAATCTCTGAGATTGAATGTTTTCCTGATAGTGGAGGCAGAGTAATTCGGTAGTGCCCACTTAAGCTGTGATGTTTTATAAATGTATGTATGAACCCATTTAAGACTGAGTATCAACTCCACATCAGATGAACAAATCATTTGCAAATGCCACATGAGATAAATCCAGCTCTAAATCTTCCATTGCTAATTCTCCATTGCACTAAGGCATTGAATCCTTCCATTACTAAAAGAAAGATTGGGAAATTTGGATCCCCTTGTCTCAGACTCCTTTCACCTTTAAAATATCCCTCTAAGCCTGTGTTTGGTTGTAAGATTTGGGGAGAAATTTGAAAAGGGAAACGGAAAAGGTGTGTGAAATTAAATGAAATGTAAGTATATTTTATTCACATTTCACCTACGTTTTTCATTTCTCTTTCCAAATCCTCCAACCAAACACATCATAAGGCTCCATTAATCATAATTAGCAACCTTTCTAGCTTGCTTTATGTATATATTTTTTTGATAATTGAGTGTTCAGACTAACTTGCGCGCACCTTGACTAATCTAGAGATCCTGATGTTAATGACTAGGCAAACCTCTAGTGGCTCCTTGGGGGTGATTCAAATTTGAGACCTTAGATCTTATCCTCAACTCTTTACCACTCGGCCAACCCCTTATGTTGTGTTTGGTTGGGAGATTTGAGAAGGGATTTGGAAAGGGAAATGAAAAATGTGAGTGAAATGTGAATAAAATATACTTAAATTTCACCTAATTTCACACGCCTTTTCTCATTCTCTTTTCAAATCTCTCCCTAAATCTCCCAACCAAACACAATATTATTGTTTGCTTTTGATATCTCCTAGGGCTTTTGTTTGTCCAAGTGAACAGAAATCTTTTATAGCATTCATATCATCCATCTGAATCTCATCAACTCAATTATTGAACTCTAGAACTTTAGCTTCATCAATCCTGATCCCACCAAATCTTTCTAAGTATTTTCTCACTATATTATAGTCCCCAAATTGTATCCACGGTTGATCATTTATTAACTTGTCGATGAATTGAGATCAGACTACATATTTCTTCTCCCTTTAGCTTTTTTGAAGCCATGTAGAACAAAAACATAAAATATATTCTTGTTTTGAGTGTTATCCATTTGCAAGTAATCAGTTGCTCTGAGTTATGGATAGTATCTTCCTAGCTGCAGCTCCATCGGCATCGGCAATCTCCATAGTAATACTATTACTATCGTGTTCCTTCAATTTTTCAATAGAAGCTAATTCAATTATGTCGAAAATCTCGAGTTCTCATTGATTCATTTGCTTCATCAATCTCTGTTTGATTATCCTCAATTCTCTCAAAAGTTCCAAATTTCATACAATTGAGGGGAAACACTAGTCCCTAGCTCATCAATCTTCGAGTTTTAAGCTTTTGAAACCTTTACGCTGTGTTTGGTTGGGTGATTTGGGAAGGAATTTGGAAATAAAAAGGAAAAAGGTGTGTGAAACTAGGTGAAATATAGGTATAGTTTATTCACATTTCATTTACTTTTTTCATTTCTCATTCCAAATCCCTGCTCAAATCTCCCAACCAAATATAGTATTAGAATAGAATTCTGCTTCTACGATTTGGGAAAGTCTATCTCAAAACACGTTTTAGGATCCAGATTCTCATAGAAACAGCAAAGATAAAGAGGAATTTGAGAAAGAAAACGAATCACAGAAAGGATTTCAAAGGGAGAGAAAACCTAGAGTGAGAGGCTCTCAACTTTTATTCCATCCTCAACTCACTCCTTTGCTCGTAACTATGTTAAAAAGCCATCTAATTCTGAGTAAAAGTTCATATTTTCAATGACTATTTGTGACGATTTTTGCCTCCCAAAATTCTATTCATACCATGCTATACGTGAAGTTTAGATGTTTTAGCCATTGAAAATCAAGGGGAGATTTAAGGTTAACATAATGGCTTCTAGATTGGCTGAGCATAAATCATCACAAATAGCTCAGATACATTTTTGCTTTTTGAAATTTTTGGGCCGAAGAATATCGACAGTGGTGACCGTATGGTGTGGTTGTGGTCAGATGTTAGGGATGATGGTCGGTTGAACTTGAGGGGAAAATGAATGGAAAAAATTAAAATTAAAATTAAAATGAATGGTTGTTACACACAGTTCTTCTATAGTTACGCATGTCTCAATAGATTTTGATTTACATGTGTTTGTCCCTTTTAGCATTTTCTGTTAGTTAAGCACATCAGTCCAAAGCATAATAAGGGTGTTATGCATGTATTCTTGGAATTTGGATTACAGGGTGGTTATGTAAAGCAAACAAGGGGCAAAATGTAATTGACTCTTATCATTTATAAACCATTGTTTTCCGGTCAATGTCATGAATAATAATACTTTATTTTTGTTTACTTATAAAGGGGCCACTGTCCTGACTAAAAGCAGCAATCCATGCCCCGGAGGGAGCAATCAAGGTCTCTTGAGCCAGTGCTGCCACTTGGGTATGAGTGGGTGGACCTATGAACAGGAATTCCTCTTGCTTTCAGTGGAGGAATTCTTATACCTTATTAAGCTAAAAGACCCCTCAAGGGAGGAGGCTCATTGACTTCAAGAAAGGGGACACCAAGCCGAGGGAATGTGTCCAGTTGACCTCAAGAAATGCCTCTGCCGCCATGATTTCATTTCCAAAACCTACTGAAATTTCGTTCGCATGAGGTTTTAGAAACATGACTTTCATTGAGGTGGCAAAAGTTAATGTCTTTGGATTTTGTATTGCATTCAACTCACAACAATGCAATCAGTCCAATTTTATAGTTTTCTACTGATAAAGGCATCTAACTGTTATTGCATACTATTGAAATTTTACCTTTTTTCTTATGATAAGGGAAAAGAAGGAAATAGATGAATCATGGAAGGTAGGTGTTTCGAACGAGGACTTTAAAAGGCCAAACTGTGGTAGAATGCTAAAGCACTAGTCTGCAGAAAATGGGTACCAGAAGCAGAAGTGCTTGTGCTTTTCTTTCATTCCCATTGCTCCTATATTTCTTGACGATTCCATCAGAATGTGCAACTGATACATTAACTCACTCCCAACCTATCGCAATAGGTCAAACTCTCATCTCTGCAGGTGAAGTTTTTGAGTTAGGCTTCTTCAGTCCTGGTAATTCCAGTAAACTATACATTGGGCTATGGTATAAGAACATAACTGTCCGCAAAATTGTGTGGGTAGCAAACAGAGAGAACCCACTTCCTGCCACAGACTCTGCCTCAAGTCTCATAATTGGCAGCGATGGAAATCTGAGACTATTAGATGGCATGAGGAACACTTTCTGGTCTACAAATATCTCTCTCGCATCAAATAACACAGTTGCAGTGCTTTTGGACAAGGGAGACTTTGTTCTTAAAGATAATGTCTCGGGATTTATCACATGGGAAAGCTTTGACTATCCATGTGACACATTTTTGGCTGACATGATGATAGGACTGAACACAAAAACAGGAGAGAAACATTTCCTCTCTTCCTGGGAGACTGATAGCGACCCATCACCTGGAAAGTTTGTGCTTGGACTTACACCAGAGACACCACCACAACTTTTCCTTTGGAACAGTTCCAAGCCTTACTGGAGAGGCGGTCCATGGAATGGATGGACATTCATAGGTATACCAAACATTGGGCAGGGCTATGTCAACGGACTCATCCTCATATCCGATAATGAACAGGGAACTGCGTATCTCACATTCAGCACGTATAACATCTCTTATGTCATAATGAATGTCCTTGCGCCAACAGGAACTTTGAAGACGATGAATTGGGATGAAGAAAAAAGTGTCTGGTTTGTTAGTTGGGTGGCAGTAGTGAATCCATGTGACATCTACGGAGTTTGTGGACCTTTTGGGGTTTGCAGCAACAGGAATGGGTCTCCAATTTGTGAGTGCTTGAAAGGGTTTGTACCAAAATCAACTGAGGATTGGAGCAAAGGAAATTGGACAGGTGGGTGCGTGAGGCGAACTGAACTGCTATGCCAAAAGAACATTAGCAGCCTAGCAAATGGAACAGCTCAAAATGATGGCTTTTGGAAGCTGAGTGGGTTGAAGCTGCCGGATCATTTTGAATATTTGTTCAATCAGGATTACTCAGGTTGCCAACAGTGGTGTGTGAGTAACTGTTCCTGTGTGGCGTATGCATATGTGACTGGAATTGCATGTATGGTTTGGGCTGAAGACCTTGTGGATGTTCAGCAGTTTTCAATAGACGGGAACGACCTTTTCCTCCGCCTTGCATATTCAGAGCTGGGTAAAGTTAATTATGCCTTAATATAAATTGGGGATGAGTAACATTGCCAGTACTTTGATACATATATATATTTATTCTTTATTTTCTCTTTAATTTCCAGGTATAGATCATAAGAAAAGTGAAAAAATCACCATCATCTTTACGACAATTTCTGGGGTTATCCTCTTGGCTGCCTTCATGTTTGGTTTGCACAGGTGGAGAGCTAACCAAAGAGGTAAGTAGGCTACTGTTTGTTACATTGATTACTTCATGGTTTAGTAACTCAACTGTGAAATATTAATTTCTTCTTGAAAGTTACCCTAAAGATGTAGCCATCAATTTTCCAATTCATACATAAATAGAGAGAGTAAATCAACAGTGTCATGTCTATTTGTCCCTGAAATTTACACTAGACAATGCTCAACATTCTCGCATTGATTCAGAAAGCAGCATGCTTTATTAATTTGGAAAATCAGTTTTTGTTAAATATTTCTATTTTTTTGGTCTTGATGCCACATATGAAAAGGATAATTGATTTTCTGTTCTGTGGCTTGAACATCAGTAAAGAGAAGAAAAAGGATAAAAGGTTTTGGTTGGGGTGATAGACTGGACATGCTAAGAGATCCTTCACAAGATAATGTCTGGGTAGACCACGCAACACATTCGGAGTCTTCAGAGCTACCAATGTTAGACTTTGATAAAGTATTAGTTGCTACCAACAACTTCAGCATCACAAATAAACTTGGGCAAGGAGGGTTTGGCCCCGTTTATTGGGTAATCAAATTCTTTTCATTTAAGTTTGTGATGCTATGAATATACATGCACAGGTGACATGTATCTATGTAGTAACTAAGAAAGTTTGTGGACCACAGGGAAAGCTAGAAGGTGGGCAAGAAGCAGCAGTGAAAAGACTTTCTATTCATTCAGGACAAGGCGCTGAAGAATTCAAGAATGAGATCAAATTGATCTCCAAATTGCAGCACAGGAATCTTGTTAGGCTCTTGGGTTACTGCATTGATGGGGAAGAGAAGTTATTGGTTTATGAGTACATGACAAATAGAAGCTTGGACACGTTTCTCTTCGGTTAGTTTGACTTAGCAATTTCTTTTTCTCATAAAATTAATGAATATAAAAAAAAATTACATATTATATTGACGAAATCCCTACACTTTTCCATGAAAACCATTGGTATGCCTAGTTATTCTTCTTAAACAAACTAATCTCCCATGTAGTTTCAAGTAGGAGTTAACCAAATTTGACATATTCCCCAATTAACTATCTTAACTAGACACTGTATTTCCATCCTCAGCCAAATAAAATTATATTTTTTTGTAGAAAAGAAAAAAAGAAAAATGCACATTACAGAATGCATCAGAAGAAAAGAAATATCAAAATTTGCACTCTTCTTTCTTCTTGCCAATTGTTAATAGCTCATCGACTATTGGTACTCTGTCTATCAATGCGGAAAGAAATATCAAAACTTGTGTTATTTATTTTCTCAGTCTCATTGATGGTAAACTGTATAGAGAAGACTGACCATGATGAATTTTTCTTTTTGACTGTCGTGCTACTGATTAGATGCAAAGAAGAGAATGCAGCTTGATTGGGCTAAACGCTTTAACATTATTCAGGGTATTGCTAGAGGGATTCTTTATCTCCATCGTGATTCTTGTTTAAGGGTTATTCACAGAGATTTGAAGGCCAGCAATATTCTATTGGATGATGACATGAATCCAAAAATTTCAGACTTTGGGTTGGCCCGAACTTTTCAACTAACGCAAGAGTTGGCAAATACTCACAGGGTGATGGGAACATTGTGAGGATTCTTTCTTTCCTTAAATAGATTCTATTCAATTTTGAATACTATTTTCTCTACCGATCGAGATTTGTTTGATATGGAGCACGTCACAACTACAGGCTCCCTGGTTACTAAAGCAGAATAGTAGGTTGCATGAACGATTAGGCTGTATAAGTGATTCAGTAAATAGTGCCTTTTTTTTGTTTTTGTTTTGCCTTACCTTCTTTTTTAATTTCAGATTAGTATACATATATTTATTGGAAATCTTATAATCTAAAGTAAGCATAAACATAACGTTTTCCCAATTAAATGCAGTGGGTACATGTCTCCTGAGTATGCAATGGGAGGGCTATTTTCAGAGAAGTCTGATGTCTTTAGCTTTGGTGTTTTGCTACTAGAGATTGTTAGTGGCACAAGGAACACCAGTTTACATTATAATGAAAAGTATCTGAATCTCCTTGGTTATGTAAGTGGACTAGTTTCACCTTCACTTTCTTTCAAACACTATCATTCAGCACCATTATATGTAGTTCAACTAATTTCATAAATCGACTATTCTAGGCATGGCAATTGTGCAACAAAAACAGGGAATTAGAGTTAATGGATGAAGCAATGGCTTACTCATGTTCTCGGTCAGAAGTAATGAGATGCATACATATTGGACTTCTCTGTGTTCAGGACCACGCGGCGGATAGGCCAACCATGTCAGCTGTGGTTCTCATGCTGAGCAGTGAAATGGATCTTCCACAACCAAAACAGCCTACATTTACCATTCAGAGCTTGTCGGATGCCGATCTTCTATCACTACACAACAAATTATGTTCCATGAATGCGGTCTCTGTGTCGATTATTGAAGGGCGATGACCATTTAACAAATCATGTTTATTAAACCAAACAAGTCCTTAATTTCATGTTTCCAGTGTAGGAATATTTGCTAGTGTATGTTGATTTTGTTTTCTTCAATTTACACAGTTATGGTGTTGGTATTATTGTCCAGTGACCACAACAAATATAGCAAGGAGTATAGTCTTAGTATTAAAGTTTGAAATCGTTGTTGTGTAACACAGCTGATCGTCTCTGTTAGTTATTTGCCGTTCATAAGCTTGGCTTACCATGTCTTTATGCAATGAACCTCGCTGCCTTTCAGATTGTGATTTGGGTATTAGTTCCGGAACCCCAACTACTTTTTGTTGGTCTGTCTTGTCTATCTTCTATTTTTTTTTCTTTATTCTGTTCTGCAGCCAAGAATGCATAGGACTACTCGGTTATGTAAGTGTACTGTCTCACCCCATTTTGCATTTCAGATGCTAGATGGACCTCTTTATGTGCTCTTTAACTCTTTCACTCTCATATTGACAAAGTAGATTGTTTTAGGCATGGCAATTGTGGAATGAAGAGAGGGCATTGGATTTCATGGATCATTCACTGGATCTCATCAGGATCACGCTGCAAATAGACCAACTATGTTGTAGTCCTCATGCTAAATTGTGAGCCAGAAGGTCCACAGCCGAAGCAAACTACGTTCACTTTCCAAAGCTTGTTGGGATCTCATCTCGGACTAGAAAGCAACAACAAACTCTCCATGAATGAGGTAACTGTATCAATGATTGCAGGGCGATGACTCATTACTGGATTATGTTTTGTAGTTCAATGAATTCATATAGTTTCAGGGCTTTTCTCTACTGATTCATTGTAATAAGTTCAGCTTGGTGTATTTTAATCTAAATTAAAATTCAGAGCCAGTGACTGAATCATGATTTGTTTTCTTATGTTGGTTAAAATGATACACCATGGAACTTGGAATGGAGCAATGAAATTTGTAGGGTTGTCCTTTATGATGATACACCATGGAACTTGGAATAGAGCAATGAAATTTGTAGGGTTGTCCTTTATGAAGTACAAGTACGAGTACTGATACTGGTACGATATAGATACGTTGATACAGTAAAATCCAAAAACATTAGGGTACAGGCACAACTTAGTACACTTGTAAAAAAATATTTATTTTTAATTTAGAGTAATGCAAAAATTAATTAAATAATTTAATTTGTTAAGATCCAACATATAATTAACATTTAATGCCAAAAGTAAAGGTATAAGTCAAAATTAAATGTCAATATATTAAATAACTTACAAACCGTAGTTTAATTTTAAAATCATGCTAAGTGAAAAATTTAGAAATCCGCTAGATATTGATTTGTGATTATGTATCAATTTTAAGCAATAAAACAATCACAATCAAAACAAATCGACACAACGATTTTAACGTGGAAAAACCACAATTGGAGCACCTCCAATTGTGATAAAAAAAATCATGGACAACAACCACAAAACAATCCACTAAGAAGATATAAAGGAATTACACAGGTATATTCTTAATTACCTAGCGAATTCACGCCCGAATTGAACCAACCCCTATGTGCCTCTTCCAGCCCCGTCTTCACCTCAGAATTGTCTTGACGATGAGCCACTCCAGAATCCACCAAAGCTTCAGGCTCGAATTCTTCAGAATCTGCTGAAAAACAACTCTCTCTTTTGTATAGAATGAACAAACAATCCTTTGATGTATCCTCCTTAAATCATGAGTTGAATAATCAATGAAACATCAAAGAAAACTAGCAAAATAGCCCCAGATATAAACTCTAGAATCCAAGAAGAAGATCTGGAGGTGTAACCCTAGATTTAGAGCAACAAGCGAATTTATAAAATTTGAAATCGCGAGATCCGCTCGAGCGTGGGAATGGATGCTCGAGCGGGGACACTATATGATGTGTTCCAAACCAGGATGTATGCTCGAGCGGGGAAATGGACGCTCGAGCGTCGCTCGAGCGTGAAAACACGGATCACAGTATATTTGCAGACTCACCAAACTTCTAGAACTCAGCATTCTCCGCTCGAGCGGGAGAATGTTCGCTCGAGCGGATAGGCAACTTTGAATGCATTTTTGCATTTTGCTTCAGGGGTGCTGCCCCTTGACCTCGCTTGGGCGCTGCCCCCTGGACCCCCGTGAGCTGACCGAGCAGCTCGATCCCCGTCATAGTCAGCGAAGTGGCAATCTTGAAAGAATTAAACATCACAAACTTCTCTATAAAGCACAATTCGAGTTGAATTCGCATCTAACAAACTCATAGCCTCACTAAAATAAAAGTGCGAAAACAAGTACAACTGAAAAAAGTTTTGTCAAACGGGATTGCCAAGAATAAAAACCTAACAATCTCCCCATTTGGCAATGCCGTGACAAAACACACCTAACAAATAAAATCCTAAACACGCCAACCCATAACAGCCAACAAAAGCCAACTTTTTTCTCATGATCATGATCTGCAAAACAGTTATTAGTGCCATAATCTCCAAAGCAACTATTAGTCCCACAATATTACAAGATTATCTTGAAGTATGAGATGAAAAACATGAATAGATGCGACTTGGAGATTTTAAGAACATGTAGCATGAATATATGAAAACTAAGACACATGATCCCGACACATGCACCCGTTACATGACATGAATACATGAAAAACAACTTTCTTCCCCGTTTTGTCACGAATTGACAATGGAAGCTCAATCAACTAAAGCAAAATCATAAACCACACAAGCAATGATATGATGATGTAAATATCAAGAGCATGCAAGAAGAAAATAATAAGCAAACAGTGCATAGCAACATGCAAAACAACTATAGCCAATCTCCCTTACCAAACAAATCAAAGTGTTCATACTAACAAACCCCAGTAATGATAAACCAAATTCCCTCTCACTAATAGCAACCATAAATTGAAAAAAAAAAATGAACAAGAAGAAAACGACAAAAATAATATGATGAGGCAAGCAGGGAATCTCAGATTTGTACCTTAGAACACACAAAATTATCCAAGAAGCATAATTACTTGAAAACGCAATGTGCACAGCCTCTAGAAGATTCCTCATAAAAGAAAGTGATGCATTATGTGAAAAGCATAGATCCCATGATAAAAGTGTGTGTGTGACTCTTGGAGTTCAACAAACACAAGATTCAAATCCTAGTAGTGATCTGATAGCTGGACCTTTGGCAAGAGAATCTAAGCACAACTAAGGAAAGTCAAACAACTAGGAATCAAGGTGTATTTGGTGAGTAAAAGCGGAGGCTCCCCCTCAATCAATGAATCCTTTATTTTTTTTCCTTTTTTTTTCATATCTTTTTCTTTTCTTTCTTTTGCACATCTTTTTCTTTTGCACATCCTTTTTTTTTTTTCTTTCTTTGTACATTTTTCCTTTCTTTTGCATACTCATTGGCGGCTGACACGCTCAAGAGTATGGAAACCGAACCAGAAAAGCATGGATATAATAAGGATAGCCTGGTTGGTGACTCTGAGATAGCCTTTTCCTCATACCTGGACTACAAAGAACAGAGGGGAAAATCGTGGAGATGCAAAAAGATGGAAGGTGGTTTAAGAGACTCAACATCACCCATGATATGCTAGTATAGGTCAATTCCTCTAGAAAAGCAAAAGATACAATGCCAGAAGTCTATAGAAAAAAAAATAATCACTAAGGCGAAAGACTCCAATATTTGCTAATCCAAGAGTGTGTACAGAATGAGACATACTAATCAAAAAATACACACTCCGAAATGAGTCATGACTACAGAAAGCACACACATATTAACATGTAATGGATATTCTCATCAATTCCAATATGCACGAAGGACCACTCAAAAATTTCAAGCTTGCAAAACTATACTAAGAAAATCTTTTTAGGATTATTTTTATTTATTTATTTATTTTTATTTTTTTTCTAAACAAAGCAAGACATAAAATGAACATGCACACATTTTTTTTCCCCTAAACAATGCAAGTCAGAGAACGAACACGCACACACAAAATGACTCAAAAAAAACATACAGAAACCCAAAAACTAAAACTAATAAACAAATTAAGTTTTCTCACCCAAACCGTTTTAGTATGAGCAAAGTTATGAGAATGGCGGTTCTTGGGTGGTGTCTTGACATTGTGGTTCCCTTTCTTTTCAATGGGAACTTGTCTCGACATGGTTTCCAACTTCCTATTTCTAGGTCTAGGCAAATACAAACTCGCTCCATGTTTGGTCTCAAGCAAATCAAAATAACGAGGTCTATTATGACCCCTTACCTCATTACCACCAATGAAGTGTCTCCTACTTCACGAGATGTTGGAATTTCTTCCATCTCTATTAGATATTTTCCCATTCAACTCATAACAATAAGGGCGAATATGACCAGCCAAACCACAATGATGACAAATAAAAACAGGGTGTACAGGATATACCTTCTTTTCTTTGACCTTACCAACTCTAAGAAGATTGAGAAGTCCATCCTCATGTTGAATTTTTTGTTCTCCCTTTCCTTGAGTTCTTGTATCATGAGATGTAGAAGCACTCTGTTTTTGCTCTTTCTTACCACCAAAGCCAATGCCACTCTTGTCAGAACAAATTTGTTGAGACCCAATGATATTGTCCAAAGTCTTTGATCCTCTATTCCAAAGACCAATGATAGCCATAGCACAATTGAGTTCTTCCTCTTTCTTGATCATTAGTTCTTCCAAAGCAACTTGAGACATCTCGAGAGTTTCAAATTTTTCTTCATATGTTGCATAGATTTATTGTAGCTCATTCCTCTCTGTCTCACAAGTCAAGAGTTTTGCACAAAGAGCTTGTCGATCATTAGAAATCTTAAGGGCATCATTCCTAGCCTCGATAATCTCTCTCTTTAATTTGACATTCTCACTTTCACATGCTTTGAGTTTCGTAGTGAGTTTGTCATTCAATATGGATAAGTTAAGAGATTCCTTATACAACTTTTGATATGCTTGCTGAAGTTCTTCATCTTCACTCCCCGAGGATTCATCATCAGTGGCATTCTCAATCGGGCTCTTTGGATACTCTATTCGTCCATCAGTTTCAGAAGTTGCCATGAAGGCAATGAATTGTTTGGGTCTCTCTTCGCCTTGATCTTCGTTGTTACTTTCATCTTTATCAGATTCTGATTTATTATCCCAAGTGATAGCGAGGGCTTTCTTTTTCTTCAAACGAGTGGGGCATTCTGAAGCAAAGTGGCCAAATCCTTGGCATTCATAGCATTGGACTCTTTCAGAGTTCCCTTGTATCTTTCCTTTCTCCTTCTTGGCTATAGAATTAATTTTGAGTTTATCTTTGCCTTTAGATTTATGAGTATGAGTAGATTCCAAAAGATTAGGATTCTTTTTCAAAAAAGATTTTTTAAATTGTTTAACAAAAGCAGCCGTAATCTTGGAATCTATCTCACAATCCTCATCAGAATCCTCTCTAACTTTATGAGCACTACTAAAAGCAATATCTTTTTGTTTCTTTTTGAAATTCCTATGTGCCTCATAAGTTTGGAGATTTCCAACCAACTGATCCAGCTTGAGGTTGTCAACATCTTGAGCCTCCTCAAGTAGGGGTGGTCAAACCATAGAATTT